TAGTGTCTTTGTTCTTAACATCCAAATGAAATGATGGGATGAAAACAAATGTTATTGGAAGAACGCTCGCAATGCAAAAACGCAGACATACACAAACGTGCACATTTAAGCCAAGTGACATATAGGACAAGTACTGTAGTTAGCGCCTGACAAGTCAGCTTCCACAAAATCATCAACTGTTTCGATTGTAAGAGTTGTATACCTAAGGAGATCATATCTTGCTGGACTTATGCGAAATATTGAAGATGATTTTTTTTTTATTTAATTAACAACAGTGCTAAGGTTGCAAAATTGCAGTGATGCTCAAGCATGGATTGTGCTCAAACCAGCTTTCTTGTAACTCACTTAAGTCATGTCAAACAATCAAAAAGGCTATTGTAAACATTGAAAACAGTAATCGACTTTGAGTCTCTTTAAATTTTTTCTCTCAAAAATTTGATAAGATTTTTAAATCATATATAACCGAAACAAGAAATTAGGCTTGAGCACAAAATACATGCTTGAGGATGAGAACGGTTTCATGAATACGGGCCCTTGCTCTGAACCCTCTCGTTTAGATATACTATTAATCTGTCGAACTGTGCTAGTTCTATACAAACGGATGTTAAAGAGAGGATACTGTAGAAAAAAACACAGTGCACTGGGAAAGGGATCCTTAAGATTGATGAGTGATTAGATCGCCAGTAAACAACATTCATCGTTAGTATTCATAGGGATTTCTTGAAATAATCCTATCCACTGTAATTAACACTTAGTATTGATAGGTTTGTTGCAGAAGTTATTAATCTCTTGTAAACAATAATCATTGTTGTGTGAGACAGGTTTGATGGGACGTCTTAGTGCTGTCAATAACGAGGAAAAGTGTCCTTGATTACGCTCTCTGAACCCCTTTAATATGCATGTCAAAGCAAAGCTGAAGGCTCAGTGTGCGCCACCTGGTTGATGAGACAAGAAGACTTGTTCGATACTTTGATGTCCATGAAAAGAATCACGCGGTGACATAATGGTAAAAATTGACTGGCTTTGAAGTCGGGTGCCGCCCCTTTGTTATCTTCAAAGGGCAGGTATCAGCGATTGGTCAGGGATTTTAACTTCGACCAATCAAACAGTTATCTTTGTGCCTTCAATTTTGCTGACATATTCCAGGGGTTACTGCTCACTTATGTGTTTTTGCCTTGTTTTCGCTACCGTTAATGAAACAGAATAAACTTATCTTTTCGATACGCCTGGTCTTACTTTCCCTCTGCTTTTTCAAAGTTCAACATGTAAACAATTTGATTTCAAATTTCGGTTTTGTTGACGTTTCATTATTCACGTTTCTATTTCAATAGTTAACAATTATTATAAAATTCAACAAATACACGATTTCACAACCAAGAGTCTACAGGACAAATATTATCTTAGAATGTTGAAGTATGTGAATATCATTTTTTGTGCCAATCGATTAGACATAAATGATCTTTACAAGAAACAGACAAGAAACAGATAGTAAAAGTATTGGGGGCGGAAACCAAAACAATTTGTCCACTTTAAAATAATATCGTTTATAGAATTAATTCATATATTACGATAATGGACACCTTTATATCAAATGTCATTTTGCACATTGTATTTTGCACGCTTTATCTAAATATGTTTACTATAAAGAATAGCTTAAGAAAAAGATGAAATACACAAACACAACACTTTTCCAATTCGCTATTATATTTCCCTATACACACATTGCAATTTTTTAAACTATTAATGTTAAGCGATTGAATTGATTGAAACTTTCAACGAATCAGCATTACTTTGCTCCACGTATACAATATCAAGTATACCTCTTAATCATATCGGAACGACTGATACGCGCAGGGTGTCGCAAGTTTTATTTCAAGGTATTTACATTTAATCAGATACAATTGTATACTTTACAGCTGTGTATTGGCGAGCCAGTATATAATAGATAAAATGTATGTGTATTTTCAAATATTCCTTACGATTAGTTATCATTCAAATGTAGGAAGTTTCCTTTGTTAATATAAGTATAAAGTATTGGCAACAACAGTAGGTGTCATGTTTATTTTTAGGAAACTATTAATAGCTGTGCGGTAACATCTTTATATGGATATATAATTCAAAATGGAAATACCCCGACCTATTTTAAGAATAGACGGACAGTGTATGACGTGTACACAAAAATAGCTACAAGTCCTTCAGTGATATGATCCATGATGTATATCGAGAATCTAAAGTGAAAGGTGTTTTATTGCAAACAGTTTGAGTGAGTTATTTTATGTTAAGAACCACAGACACGCCTAATATGAACCTTAAAATACTACATCTAGAATAAATCCAGATTAAAGGAGATGACAGGTAACATTAAAGTTCTTACAGTATCATGGCTGATTAAAATATCCCGAAAGTTATTATTCCAAAAGTCCAACAGATTGATAACACAGGTTGTTAGCATACCATACCAAGATAAGACCATATTAATAAAGTTCATCAGATATTTTAAAAACTATGCAAAATAGAGATACTAAAATGGAAATACCATGAGCTATATTTAGTAGACGAGGTGTGTATGACGTGTTCATAAATATAGCAACAAGCACATTAATTGTTTCTTCACAAAATCATACGATGTATTTTACAGGTATATTGGAAACGGTAAACCTGTATAACAAATGCTAACCGACTGTTACTAGTATTTCACTACTGCAAGAAAACAAACGAAAACTTATCAATCAAAGGTAACCAGCTTCTGAAATGTACAACACTGTTAAATCGAGGCTTTCTTTGGAGGCCCTTTTAATGCAAAAAGAATACAAAATATATATATTATATTACACTTTTACGCATACTTTACAGACACAGTTGAAAGAAATGATAGTCCATATAAAAGAATTACTTATTATGACAGCTTAATTGTACTTACATTATCATCGCCGAGCGAAATATTCCGGAAGTTCTTCGTGATGAAGTTTGATAATAATACAGAGAACACCTGCTGATATACGTACCATACCACAACAATAACACGAGGTTAATCAAGAACGTCAGATACTTGATTTGAATGATAATACTGACAGCACCAGTGCTTACGTCAGATACTGGAATTTGTGAACAGCTAACTGTGGTGTTAAACACCCAAACCATCCGCCATGAATATGTATGATAAGTGGTCACGTGTTGAGGAAATTTACAGTGTGGAAAAACCCTCTTACGGTGTGGTTTTATCAGTTTAAAAGTCTTAGTAATAGTCGAGGTATTAAATGACATAACCTCCATGTGTACATATGTGATGTATGTTGACTGTAATCGTTATAAGAATATTGGTAGATGTGGTTTGATGGATTGTGTCCAAAGTGTGAAATTAAGAGGTACCTGAAAGATCAATTACTTTAAGAAACGATCGTTCTACTTTTCTAACTAAACGATTATTGCTATAGAAAAAATATAAATGATTTACATGAATTGATTTTGGTCCCTTGAACGATATTCGTTTATTTTGTATTATTTATAAATACGATCGTTGCAATGCTAACAAAAAGTGAAAAAAAAATATCAACATGAAACAGTTAAATATGATACAGTAAACATTATGAATATAATGTTTACTGTAAATATAACATAACACTGCTTACATTATAAAACAGTATATCATTATGAGTATTGTAAACTATTTGTTTTAATTCCGAAACAAATAACAGCTATATGCAGTAAAGCAGTACCCACAACATCAGATACTGGAATGTCAGATATAAACAATTATGCCAACCAAGTCTGAATTATTCCCCCAATGAGTATTCTGTCTTTGCGTATTGCAGATTTATCTTCTCTTGTGATCAGGTATTGATTGTTACGTCATTGGTTTGTGTGAGAAATTTACGTTGTTTTCTCAAAAATTGAAGACTCTCACAAACAAATGACGTAACAATCAAAACCTGCTCACAAGAGCAGATAACTACCGAAAAGGATTATTTCCCTAATTAAGTATAATAAATTAAACGATTCCCCTTTCCAGAGTGGAATGGTTGACCCAGGTAAACTGATATTCAATTTTTTTAAAAAGCCTTTAGAACCTTCCATTGATGAAAAACATTCGATTCTAGCATTACTGGGTCTGAAGAAGATTGTGGAAATTCTTTGTCAATCTTGCACATTTCGTCCCAGCCCCTCCGGCCCTATATAATGAGTGATATCCATATATAATTTAGTTTTAGTTCGCCTTTGATCATTGAACCTTCCTACAAAATTTTATTGAAATCAGTGATTTTAGAGAAGTTAAAAATGTCAATTTGTTACAAAAGGAGAACGCACGACGTCGGACGGAAGCCGATCACAATAGGTAAATAACTGAGGCTTTGTCTCAGGTGACCTAAACAGTGTTTGTTAACAATATCAAACATTGCTTCAAACAGAGAATTGACAGTAACATATTAATAGCTAGGTGGTAAAACCTTACTAAAATGTAAATACCATACCTTACTTATATGAGTTTAAACAATAAATTCATCAACAGTAATCGGTTTCTTTGCGACTATGATAAATCAAGGAAGTAATGGGAATATATATAATAAGGTAAAAAATGTAGTTGAGAAATATTCTTTTTAAAGTGTTTGAGAAATATTTTATTTTTAAGTAACGACTCTGAAACAGCACTTACAATATCATTCCTGATAACAATAAACCAGAAGTTTTAGATTTCTATCACATTTGCGATGTAACGACACTTCTCATTGGTTAATAACCATGTATTATCGGACGATAGATAATGCGCATTCATTTTTTTCCAACGTCTATCGCTTATCGTCTACTAAATGACAACTGAAAATAAAAAAGACAATATAGAACAACTGCCTAGAAATTATGAAAATGCGCAAAAGAGCATCCCCATTTTAATATGTATATTAAAGGTCACCTTACTTATCATAGACGTAAGGACTTGTAGAATCTAATCAATATATGTTTGTATGTTTGGTGGAAATTATAACTCAGCATTCGAAATTATTGGAAAAATAATCTACTCAGACCGCAAGCGGCCTTCGATAAGTATTTTTTGCAGTAATTTTGCGAGTGCATATGTACCTTCACCAATATGTCAATATATTAACCAGTCTTTAATATGTATGTAGACAAACAAGGATAATAAAAAGTTCATTTTNCTTCGTTTCCATTCAACCACACTAGGAGACTTGATCTCTTGACAAGTAGTTTATGTCACAGTCTCTTTGCCTGTGCGTTCAACATTTCAATGAAATCCTTGTTACCTTGTCCTACTTCAGTCACCCCAGCGCTGCCAGTGATGAACCGGACTAACATATGTTCATCAATATGACCCTCTTTTAGCTATCCTAGTACCTGCTGTGTGACTTAAGTGATCTCATAGATGTTTACTCTTACAGCTTACCGTGCCTTAATTGTATCTAAACAGAAAAGATTTCCGTTGTTGCTTCTATCTTCGGTCTCCTTTCGATTATGAAACGTCTATACCACAGAATTAGATTGCTATCTATGTCCGTGGTCTATACTGCCTATGATTGGCTATATTTTCATCAGTAGAACTACCTCGGATAGCAAAACATGAAATCTCATATTATATGCAGCGCTATATGCGAACGTGAATGCAACACTCTGGACCCGATGTTGGCTTTCAGGTCCATTCCCGGCCGCTTCATCCAATTGGTCACCACCGGACCCTAGCCTTCAACACAGACAGGCGGTTTAATTCCCGAAGGCAAGCAAGATTTTTTTTTCTTTTCTTGACACACAATATATGTACTAGTGTCTTAATTCTTAACATCCAAATCAAATGATGGGATGAAAAAAAAAGTTATTGGAAGAACGCTCGCAATGCAAAAACAACAGTGTTAAGGTTGCAAAATTGCAGTGATGCTCAAGCATGGATTGTGCTCAAACTAGCTTTCTTGTAACTCGCTTAAATCATGTCAAACAATCAAAAAGGCTATTGTAAACATTGAAAAACAGTAATCGACTTTGAGTCTCTTCAAATTTTTTCTCTCAAAACTTTGACAAAATAAGATTTTTAAATCATATATAACCGAAATAAGAAATTAGGCTTGAGCACAAAATACATGCTTGAGGATGAGAACGGTTTCATGAATACTGGCCCTGGCTTTGAACCCTCTCGTTCAGATATACTATTACTCTGTCAAGCTGTGCTAGTTATATTCAAACGGATGTTAAAGAAAGGTTACTGTATATGTCTCGCCTATGCCCCGCTTTGACCATCAATGCACATGTGAAGTTTGGTTTGTCTAGCAATTATAGTTTCAGAGAAACTAGCTTATACACAAAAACTTATGGAGATTTTGTTGGAGATCAATGGACCATGAAAAGTAGGCCGCATTCCGAATTTGATGCATGGTTGTGACGTACTACCCAAGATGCATCTATGGTCCAAGTTTGGTTGGTGTAGCACGTTTGCTTTCAGTGAAAATAACTTAAACGCAAAAATGTAATGTTGACGCTGCCATTGCTTCCGGAAAAGAAACACATTAGTCTCGCTTCAACTACTTCGTGACGGCGAGACAAAAACCAGTGCACTGGGAAAGGGATCCTAAGACTGACGAGTTACTAAATATCTTGTAAACAACCTTCATCGTTGGTATTCATAGGGATTAGGTGCAATAATCTTATCCCCTGTGAATAACACTTGGTATTTATAGATAGCTCTGTTGCAGAAGTTGTTTGGTGTCTTGTAAACTACATGCATTGTTGTGTGGGACAGGTTTGATGGGACATCTTAGTGATGTTGATAATGAGTAAAAGCATCATCCAGGGGTTACGCTCACATACGCTTTCTGCAACCCTGGAATATGTCCCAAGCAAAACTAAAGGCTCTCAGTGTGCGCCACCTTGTTGATGAGACAAGAAGACTAGTTCGATCATTTGATGTATATGAAAAGAATCCCACGGCCCAGTAACAGTAAAAGTTGACAGGTTTTGAAGTCGGGTGCCGCCCCTTTGTTATCTTCAAAGGGCAGGTATCAGCCTAGCGATTGGTCAGGGATTTTAATTTTGACCAATCAAACGGCTATCTTTGTGCCTTCAAATTTGCTGACATATTCCAGGGGTACAGAGAGCGAAAGTGAGGGTAACCCTGGAGTATCGAGGATGGAGGAAAATATAACAGACAGACAGACAGTTTGTAGTTAGTCTCAAAGCAGTTCACAAATTATTATCCGTGGTTATAGGGCCTTCGCAACCAGCAAATATCTTTCTCAACTCCCTGGGGAGCATACAGCTGGTGTTGCCATTTCTACAATTCTAGCACTGCCCAATCATGTACTCATCTACAGCTGAGTAGACTGGAACAAGCAGAGTAAAGTATCTTGCTCAAAGATACAACACAGTGCTGTGCCATGACTCCAACCCACAACCCTTCGGTCACGAACCCGGCATCCTCCCACTAGATGACCGTGCCTCCACGTGGCACTTTGTGTGTGTAATGAAATGTACATAATGATGCATGTGTGCTGGAGGCTGTAAACTGGTACATGTTTTAGTATTGCGTAAACAAAAGATGCAACATTGGTATATTTGTACAATTTTTTATTTGTCATTTCTTCAAATGACAGCTCAGATCTTTTCAATAAATATAAAATATACATCTTAAACTTATCAAGTAAGACAAATAACAATTCGTGATTTTCATTCAGAAAAATAATGATGTCTTGCCCACATGCACAGAATCATCTCAGTTTTTAAAGTTTTAACAAATTTCTCTCGGGAGTGGACGGTGAGAATTTAATGTTATACTTCCTTTACATCATCAAAGGGTTCATAAAAATATTTAAAACTTCATTGATGCATTATCACATTAAAGAAACGGACGGAACTTCTTTTTTAATGTTACATAATTTAATTGAAACATCATTATCATTTCACGGCAAAGCTATGACAAGTTCTGTAAAATAATTAAGATTGAAAAAGTGATAATTTTAATTTGCAAAGGAAGTAATATTTTTGTAACAGTAATATAAATTAGAAGTTATCACAACCAGTCCCGAAGGGCGAAAAAAAGCTTGTATTACACAACTTGGTCCATGATGTGTCCTTCATGTCTGTTTAGTAAACAGATTCACAAGTTCATATTATAGTCTGTGTAACCTACACAATGTCTCAAGAATACTTCGATCAAAGTCTTCCATACTTTGACTGGAACATTTGAAATTCACCTTTCCATACTTTTCTTCTTACAATTTCTAATTTATAAAATGTAGAACTGTTTGAAATTAAAGGGGTGTGAACTTCACTACGATGATCTATGATGATGTACTGATCAGTATCAAAATGTTAGCTTGTTGTCGTCCATCCCGCCTCCCGCTCCAAAACCATCCGATTCCTTTAAATTGTTGTCTAGTTTATTTTCCTCTGCCAGTGTTCGAAAATGCTGAAAAATAACAACCGACTCTGTCAATAAAACTTTATATAAAATGGATACTTTTAGCATATCTGTGGAATTAACGTCGATGGTTAATGTAAAGATACATCAGACAAGATTACAAAACAACACATTCACGGTTATCTTAAGTTATGGACAAAAAACATTTTGCAACTTTTTTGTTCCGATCAATACATGCAAAGTTTAAATCAAGATATGTATCTGTATAATTCACTCTATACAGAAAAGCATCATCCACAAAAACTCTTCATTCAGAAATGAAAGAACTCAATATTGATATAAAAGTCATCTTTTCAGACCTTTTGCCAGCTGCATGTGGATTTCAACACTCCCCATTTGACTATATAATCGGTAAAACGGGGAATGTTAATATCAAACACAATTTTTGTTTTGCCATGAACACCAGCCAATCGACCGTCTTTATCAGTTTATGAGTAAAAATGCCAATAACACGTTTTTTGCTCTTATCAATTTAGCTGTGGATTGTCAGTAAAACAATTTTTATGTTGGAAGCAGCCAATTGTCCGTCCAATCAGTTTATTCTTGTTTATGTTTTGAGATGATACCAAACAATGTTATTTTTCAATGTAAAACATTTTTAGTATTTAGATGTAACAAAACATCCTTTCGTCTAAAAACAAGTAAACAATTTGTACAAAAGTTTTAAATTCTTTCCACCGTCAGTCCCAGGTTGACTTAACCCTTGTAAGTTGTAGCTGGAATTATACTTGGAAAGTTATTATGAGATACTAGTTTAATACATTTTAGATTTTCATTGAATGTCAGTTTCCAGATTGACCGCACCTTGAAGCTGGAACTTATTCTTGCAAACTTAACATGAAATACTAGTTTAATAAATTTCAGATTCTAATTGACTGTCAGTTTCCAGGTTGGCTATACCCTTATAGCTTGAATTTAATTTACAAAGTTAATATGAAATAATAGTTTAATACATTTTAGAATCTTACTGACATTCAGTTTCCAGGTTAACCGTAAGCTAGACGCTGGAATTTATCTCTTCTGAGTTAACATGTAGTACTAGTTTGATAAATTTAAGATTCCTAAGGACTGACAGTTTCCAGGTTGACCACAGCCTCGTAGCAATAGCTTGAATTTATTCTTGCAGAGTTAACATGAGAATGAATTATCTGGAACAGCCAAAAGTTGCAACAAGTACGTACTGTTTTTAAGCACCTTTCACCTTTTTTCTATTTTCTGCACATTTTCATCCTTTTGGCCTTTGGAACCACTGATGACTCCAAAATGGATGAAATGGCCGTACGGTGCAGTAATGTTGACTTTGTTTGTTAAATTGGTGCACATGCTTAAATAGTATGTCTAGTGGTTAATTCTAGTATGAATGACAGATTTTGAAAAATGCAAATTTTTTAATTTTGCAGATAATTTAATTTTCTGGCATGCTTCCTTCCCTTGTAAAGAAAGACTCACCTGGGAGTTCTTGAACTCAGAGAAGAGAGTAAAGATTACATGGAGAGCTAGCACCCTCTCGTTACGATGCGGAGAACCTTTGTATATCGGCACATCCAGTATAGCTGAAATAAAGGGGAGATAATTCATCAACCAGCAAGAAACTTTGCCGACAGCTATAATACAGAGACTATAAGTATAGAGAACAATTTTCAAACTTGATGGTTTTCCTTATTTTTTGTATTTTTTTTTGTATAGTAGTCACATTATGATAAAAAAAGGAGATATATACCATATATAAACTAATAAGTGTATTAAACTGTACACAAACACTTGTTGCTTGTATATCTTCTATGTAAAAATTTCATATTCATGAAAACTATTCTATTTTGTGTCATTAACAGAGTAGTAAGCAAAAAGAAAGAAACCAACTAAAAACTGATTTTAAGAAGAAATTGGAAAGTGTGTGCTTATCTAACGAGAACAATGATATGTGCCTGTGTGCCTGACCGACACCCTCCCCCTACCTGCGTCTATATTTAGTGACAGTAACCTTGACCTTGACCTTAAAAATCTTTTTAAAATCCTATTGCACAGTTACATAGCAGTGTCTCATCATACCAAAATTCAGAAATTATCAGTCTTTTGGATTCTACAAGATAAGGACTGTACAACCCCCCCCCCCCCAATATTTTTTCAGTGACCTTGACCTCAACTTTAACAAAATTCAAACACCTACTGTACATCTACATTCCACAGTGCATTACCATGTAAAATTGAAAAATAAATTACACTTTTGGTTTCCGAGATAATCTCCAGTAACGAAAGTGTGGCCGGACAGACACACAGACAGATTGACAGACAATGTGATTACTATATAGAGTACATTATTTCTTTTTATTTCTGTAACTAATAAACACTGAATACAGCATGCAAGCCTTTTGGAATGTACATGCTTCTTCCTTTAAATGTTTACAATAAAACATACACAGTATCTGTATGCATTTGGTAGTACCTGATATTGATACATAGGTCAGTTTTCCATGTGGAAGCATTTCAAAATATTGCAAGATATTAATGCAAGTAATCCATGACTTATTTTCAAGAAAACTAACTGTCATCAAAAATTGGCCTATTTCGGAGTTTCAGAAATAGAAACAAAACTATCTCACAAGTAACACTATGTAGTATATTTTGATGTTAATTGAATGTATAATCACACATTGTAACTAATTTCTTTAGAAATATCTACTTTACTGAATAACCTTTACATTGCTGAAAAATACTTCTGTTTTGTAAAGCTTTCACTTTTGTATTCAAATTACTCAACAGAAAAGAAGAAATTTTAAACTTACAACACACTAGGTCCACATACTCTGGAAGATCACAGTCCAGCTCAGCAGTGGGCAGTCCAACCTAAGAGGTATAAACAAATTCTGTTAACTCATTCACCCCTGAAGACACATTTCAACTCTTCCAATTTAAAGGTTGGAATATTCCGTTTTGAAATTTCAGGGGTGAATGAGTTAAGCTGAAAATTCCCAAGCAAGTTTTTAGTATACAGTGTTATATTTACTGTAAAATGTGTTATATACTCTGTATGCCCTCATATTTACTGTATGCAGGGTTATATCAACTGTGTTATATTGAATTTCATAGTATGCAGGTTTGATTTACTGCATACAGGGTTATAGTACTCTATACAGAGTTATATTTACTGTATACAGGGTTATAGAACTCTATACAGAGTTATATTTACTGTATACAGGGTTATAATATTTACTGTATACAGGGTTACTTTATTTTTACTATTTTTGCAGTGATGAGAAATCAACAAAACAATGCATATTTCTAGTCAATCTTATCATCTCAAAACCACAAACTTTAACGTCCCACAATTTACATTTTAATAAATTTGACAAAGTTTAAATAAAATTTCCATCAATGGAAAACAGGTATTAGATTATGTACTATGAATTTTGCAATTCTCTACCCCTAAATCCGTAAAAATTCAAAATCTTGTTTTTCGTTGTAGGTTACCTCTTTCAGTAATTCTTCAAATTCAGGAGGCCATTCCTGCATAAGTGTGTCTATATCAGGCATATTTCTGTAAAGGAGAGGCAAATCATCAGATATATTACACTTTGTCTGTGTTATTTCATTGATAAATCATCATTTTGATAATAGTATAAAAACAGCCACTGTACCATAGCTTGACGCCCGGGACTACTAAGATTTTATATCTGAAGGTGAGTTAACATTTTCAACATATACTGCAAAAGCGGAAATTTTCACATTTTGGAAATGTTCACATTTTTCATTTCGAGTTAATTATCACGAAAACATCCACACAAACATTTATTGATAGATTATGAATTAATGTTTTCTATAGATTTCTACACAAGCATAAAGAGTCACAATGCAAACGCTTTCACATGCGACATTTCCACTTTAAATTTATAGTATCTGTATTGCCAAAATTACACGATGTACGTTGCGTTTAAAATAGAGGTGTTTTTTCTTCAAAATATGCTAGTGAGCAATTTCTCTAAATATGAATTCTTTGGTGAAGCAGATTTGTATCAGAATTCGCTAATATTTTCTATCTAACTGTATTACGTTGCTGTAAGAGGGTACAAGATACCTGTATAATTGCTTTGAAATATGCCGGCAACGTCACGTGTAATCTATGATCAGTCCAACAGTACATATGATCCATATAGCGTTTTAAGCAAGTGTAGACTACAAGTGTAAAGGTCCATATAGCGTTTTAAGCAAATGTAGACTACAAGTGTAAAGGTCCATATAGCCTTTTAAGCAACTGTCGACTACAAGTGTAAAGTCCATACAGCGTTTTAAGCAAGTGTCAACTACAAGTGTAAAGGCCCATATAGCATTTTAACCAAGTGTCGACTACAAGTGTAAAGGTCCATATAGCGTTTTAAGCAACTGTCGACTACAAGTGTAAAGGTCCATATAGCATTTTAAGCAAGTGTCGACTACAAGTGTAAAGGTCCATATAGCGTTTTAAGCAAGTGTAGACTACAAGTGTAAAGTCCATACAGCGTTTTAAGCAAGTGTAGACTACAAGTGTAATCTATGATCAGACCAAAAGTACATAAGGTCAATATAGCGTCTTGAGCAAGTGTAGACTACCACGAGTGTCGTTGCACACTCTTGCACATTACCTTCAGGGCGAATCGATGTAGTTTGTGCATCATTGAGTTGTTTAATTTCGCGGGGCTAATATTTCGCGGTTGTCCCGAACAGAACTAGTTTACAGGGATTAACCCTTTCACCCCTAGGTAACTTGAGTAGACTCTACCATACATTCATCTGGGTGAGTCCATGATGGTCTACAGTGGTGAAAAGGTTAAATTTCCCGCAGCATGTCTAGGTATAATAATATATCACAACCATGATAGTGCTTTTGAATTTGGGTGATGGGATTTAAAAAAAAAAAAAAATACAATATCAAAATTGTTGTTTTTTCTTCATCATTTGGCAGTAAACTGATAAACAATACTTTTTCTTTCTTGTCTGTAATTATATGTATTCACAATATTGATTATTCATTGGGTGTTTAACTTCGTTCCATCTTTGGTGACCGTGAATTAGCAAAATTAAATCCTCAACGAACATTACCAACAATATAAGTATAGATTGTGTACATTCACAACAATAACATTGTGGCCCTTACTTAGAGTAATGTACGTTCAGATTGTGGCCCTTACTTAGAGTAATGTACGTTCGGATTGTGACCCTTACTTAGAGTAATGTACATTCGGATTGTGGCCCTTACTTAGAGTAATGTACGTTCAGATTGTGGCCCTTACTTAGAGTAATGTACGTTCAGATTGTGGCCCTTACTTAGAGTAATGTACCTTCGGATTGTGGCCCTTACTTAGAGTAATGTACGTTCAGATTGTGGCCCTTACTTAGAGTAATGTACCTTCGGATTGTGGCCCTTACTTAGAGTAATGTACGTTCAGATTGTGGCCCTTACTTAGAGTAATGTACGTTCGGCTTGTGGCCCTTACTTAGAGTAATGTACGTTCGGCTTGTGGCCCTTACTTAGAGTAATGTACGTTCGGATTGGGACGCTTACTTAGAGTAATGTACGTTCGGATTGTGACACTTACTTAGAGTAATGTACGTTCGGATTGTGGCCCTTACTGAGAGTAATGTACGTTCGGATTGTGACCCTTACTTAGAGTAATGTACATTCGGATTGTGGCCCTTACTTAGAGTAATGTACGTTCAGATTGTGGCCCTTACTTAGAGTAATGTACGTTCAGATTGTGGCCCTTACTTAGAGTAATGTACCTTCGGATTGTGGCCCTTACTTAGAGTAATGTACGTTCAGATTGTGGCCCTTACTTAGAGTAATGTACGTTCGGGTTGTGGCCCTTACTTAGAGTAATGTACGTTCGGATTGTGACCCTTACTTAGAGTAATGTACATTCGGGGGAGGCTGGATACGCCTTAGCTCGCGGATACTCTCGATCCAGCTGTCAATGTGTTTGGGATTTTTCTCAGCAGACTCTAAACTCTTCACAACCTGTAATACAGAATACATCAAAACAAATATATCAAGTTCCATATATTGGGACTATATAGGGGTGGGTATTGCAAGCAATTTTCAAATTGTGATATATTGCAAAATTTAAGCAAATATTGCAATATATCACAATATATTGTGAACCTAGAAATTTAATACATTTATAATGATTTTATCACTGGTAGCAAACATCAAAAGTGAACACCAGGTCAGCAATGAAAAGTGGAAAATTATTTTAATCAGTTTTAGAATATATTACAGCAAGCATGCTGCATTTGGATAAAACTGATTCAATCTTCATTATATTCCTGTAAAATTATTTCATAACTTTATTCAAACCCTCAAACAAATAATTGAAAACATATTGCACTATATTGTCATTTCAATATCATATTGCATTATATATATATATTACTAGACAAAAATTGCAATATATTGGTACTGCAATATTATTACCCACCCCTGCATTATATACAGGATCTTACATGAGTTTCCATTTCATATGAGATTTATGAAACAAGGCTAAGAATTTTTAATTTAACGAGCATCTCACAAGCTAAAATGAAAAATTTGTGACCAGTTTCATAAATTTCATATGAAATGAAAATGAGTGTAAGATCCTTTTTATCACATAATCAAGATTTGGGGCATTTATTTGTGTGAATTAACGACAATTTTCATGCAACCTCAAAATATAAAAAGCCGCCATTTTGACTCCAGTGCATAAGTCTGTGACGTCATGTACTCGTCCTAGGCGTGACGTCACAATTGAAACAATTGAAACAATTGAAACTTACAACGAATCACAGGGCTGATAGGTCATATTACATATATTAATAGGCAAAATAATATGACATGGGTATATTCACTGGATAACACAGTACATTATGTGATAAAAGTAATTAACAGTCTACATTAATATTCACTCAACAACTTATGAAATCAATAAATACCAAAGTGAGTGTAGGCTCTCATACATAGACCACCAGGATACATGTACATCATCCTCGATATCTAGGGGTTACGCTCACTTTCGCTCTCTACACCCCTGGAATATGTCATAGCAAAATCGAAGGCACACAGCAAGCAATTTGATTTGTGTCAGGTAAAAAAACCCTGACCAATCACTAGGCTGACACGTGTCTTTTGAAGATTACAGAGGAGCGATGCCCAACTTTAACTTCAATTTTGCTATGACAAATTCCAGTTGTGCAGAGATCGAACGTGAGAGTAACCCCTGGATATCGAAGATGATGAACGGAATAGATTGAATATTATCAATCCATATATATCAAAAGAATAAACACGTAAATGGACAATAATGGCATGCGTATTGATTGTGGCTCTAGTAGGGAAAAAATGCCTAGAAGTGAAATTATAAACACCATGCTACGAATAACAAATGAAAGCATCGTCCGCACGTGCACAGCACATACCACTTTTTTATCTGTCGTCTGTTTGGAGATAGCGCGGAGTTGAAGGTCAAGGACAGTTGGATCAGACTGTTTGGCACATGGCTCGTCCAACACGTTCAGACCCAGGGTGTCTGGCTTGCTGTCAGGGCGAATAATCTATAAATAGAATGATTTCTTCATATTAGTCATTATTACATTGATTACAATTCGGTAATGAATAACACAAACTTTTTCTAAGAATCTTCTGAAACCAGTCAGGGTTCAACAAGTAATTATACTATGAATTAAAAGCTTTTTAGGGCCTTTTTTCAGTAAAACTATGGCATAAAATCTCCCACCATTTGCTTCTTCTCAAAATATACAGAGATGTGTAAGGGGCTTTAACATACTTTTCATCAATCGTTAGGCTTTTCAAGACCAACTCTTTGTTTTAGGGCCTTTTCGAGGCTTGTTCGAAACCCTGAGTAAAGAAATACTTAAAATTACGTTTAAAAAAATTCACAGAACATCAGACTGCTGTCTAGTTAATATACAAAACTACAGGTCTCAAACATTTTTTTTTTTTCTTCCATATCTCATGGTTTTTTAAAATACATTTTTTTCATATAATTTTTGTAAAGATCATGTAATGTTATTGAAACAAACAAATTACATCAGGAAATTCAATTGTCTTAATATTTCTCTCAAAATATATCTTTTCATTATATTTTTCCATGTTATGGTTTTAAAGATGTGACTAGTTAATTTCAAATTTTATTTTATTTTAAAACATCACCATTTACTTTGAAGGAAATTCCCCAAAATAATGCTACAATGCATTCATTACTAGTAGAAAACAAAATGCCTGCCACATTCAATTTGGTGACTACAGAAGACTTTTATACAGTGATATTCCGTCTTTGCATATTGCAGAGTTATCTTCTCTTGGGAGCAGGTATTGATTGTTACGTCATTGGTCTGTGTGAGAAAATTACGTCGTTTTCTCAAAAATTGATGACGTTACTCTCACAAACAAGTGACATAACAATTAATACCTGCTCCCAAGAGAAGATACCTCTGCAATACGCAAAGACGGAATTACAAACCTCTAGACTATGTGTTATAGCCTTCTATCATGTCTATATATATATTTTTTTCTTTTGTTATAACATCCATATCCTTGTCATTTTGCCCTAAATCCCGTTCGCACTACAGGTCATTTCACTCAAAATCCAGTTCACCCAAGGTTATTTCGCCCTATTGTAAATATATATTTTTAAGTTATAAATATAATTTTAAATGTTTTTAATGATTGAAAACCTAACTGTTTTCATATTTCATTAACAATAACAATGTTGTCGGAAGAATTTCAGGTGTAGGTTATGTGCAGATCCTGTCGACCACGTACGAACCTAAAGAGTGTAACGATAATGAAGTCTAAGAAAGATTAAGGAAAATTTCAAATGAGACTGTACAGCCACACACTACTAAACTGGCCTAAAAACTTTTGCCAAAAAACTATTTCGAGGGCGAAACAACCGAGCATGAAACGCCACGGGGTAAACGGAATTTAGGGCGAAACCACCCGATACCTCCTCATACGATGTCTTACCTTGATAAAGGCGTCAATATCCCCAACAGCTGGAATAAAGTCTGGGATGAACGGCTTCAGCTTATGTTCCAACTCAATGGACTGGGGGGTATACCTGTATAACAGACATGTATAGAGCTTAGCATATAAACCTAATTATCTGTGAATAACAGACACCTACGTAAACCCCATATATTTATCTCTATCAAAAAGTGAAATCCTGACTCGGATGTAATGTAGAGGTTCATTTACTGGTATATTATTTTAATAAGAATAATAATAATATTAAACATCATTTGATATAGCGCCTTATCTAGCTAGAGTAAGCCACTCTTAAGCGGTTTACAGTACATAGATATACAATTTATACAATCAATTTAATTAGCATATATACATTAATTAATACTTTTATGAGGAATTCGCAGGAGCTGCCTTATCAGAGTCAATATTTTAATGAGGAATTCGCAGGAGCTGCCTTATCAGAGTCAATACTTTTATGAGGAATTCGCAGGAGCTGCCTTATCAGAGTCAATATTTTTATGTGGTCCGATGGCGCAGTGGATAAGGCACTTGCCTTTCACCATGTGGTGGCCGGGATTTCAGTTCCCGGTCAAGTGTGAAAAGGTATTGGATCACCTGGTAAACTACTTGGGTTTTCTTCGGGTACTCCAGTTTCCTATCACATTAGACCCCCTGCATGCTACCATTCAGGCCAACGCTTAGCTAACAGTGGAGTGATTAATAACAGTTGATATAACTTGTTTCTTAAATGTTGTACAATAAATAAATAAAATATGGAAATGGGCATCTGATGAGATTCCATTGCATGAAGTATAAGGTATATGTAAACTTTATTATTTTACAACAATTATGAAACAAATTATATCAACTTATATTATTAATTCTTGTTGGTCTGGATGGTAGCATGCAGGGGTCTTATTGTGGCAGGAAACCAGAGTAAACTGGAGAAAAAACACATGGTCTGCCGGGCAGGTGACCCAAAATACCTTTACAATCTGATTGGGGAATCAAACCCAGGCCATCTTGGTGCAAGGCCAGTGTGCTAAGCACTGCACCATATGACCACACATTGCATATGGAGTTTGAAAGAGACTAATGGTGTAAGTTAATGTAAGGTATTAGAATGATTTAAATATATTTTATTGCAAGAATATTCACATGTACAGCTGTATACCGGGAAATTTTTGCTTTAGTTTGCCAAATCCTAGTAATCACTCTGCAAGTATGAAATTCATATTCGCCTAGTGTTGATTTCAATTTTCATAATATGCTTGACATTTTTTTTTTTTTTATCAGTGCTGAGTGAATACCAGTATTTCGTCATGGAAAAAAGTATCGGACACTGTAGACTTTTTCTCACACCATCCTAGAGTATCAATGATGTCAAATTAAAACCTCCTCAATTGAATATCCATCAATCATGCTGAATAACTTACCTTGTAATATACTGGAACAATTCCTTGATCTCCGGTGTGACAGGGAGGTTTTCATAGTCAGCGGGATCATACGCTCTGTAAAAAGGAAATGAAATAATGCTAATCAGTAATCATACGCTCTGTAACGAGGAAAAGATATAATGTTTATCAGTAATCATACGCTCTGTAACGAGGACAAGATATAATGTTTATCAGTAATCATATGCTCTGTAACGAGGAAAAGAAGTAATGCTTATCAGTAATCATACGCTCTGTAACGAGGAAAAGATATAACACTTATCAGTAATCATACGCTCTGTAACGAGGAAAGGAAGTAACACTTATCAGTAATCATATGCTCTGTAACGAGGAAAAGAAGTAATGCTTATCAGTAATCATACGCTCTGTAACGAGGACAAGATATAATGTTTATCAGTAATCATACGCTCTGTAACGAGGACAAGATATAATGTTTATCAGTAATCATACGCTCAGTAACGAGGACAAGATATAATGTTTATCAGTAATCATACGCTCTGTGACAATAAAATTGAGGTTTCTCAACAACTGATGGATGGTTGTCATGTTTATCTAACTCCAATTAATATAATTTCAAATTGTAAGAAGAAACGAGGTTTATCGAGTGTCTTTTACAATTTAAAATTAACTAACAAGAATTAGATAAACATGATAATCAACCATCCTGAGTTTCGAGGCCTTTTTCCCCAATATCATTCAGATGTCATATCTAGAAAACCATCTCTCTTGGGAAACATTTTTACTGTTTCTGATTAAGAAAGAATTGCCATTAACTAAAACTAAAAAGTCGCAACGGATGATGATGTTGTAAAGTGTTCTTTGTCGATATCATGATAAGAAGTTAAGACTGACTAATACAATCACGTCCAGGGTGTTACCCACAAGTGAATAACCAACATTGACTACCAGCTCCTAGCAGGTTTAACCCATGACCTGGGTGTGAGGAAACCTACAGTGGTTGAGGGACAAAAAGACTACGTATAATTATAAGCAGTCACTACATCATATTTTACGAGGAAAGGCATAAACACTATCAAATTGCAATATTATTCTTTACCCTTCTAATGGTGCATGATCATCATCGTCATCATCATCATCGTCTTCGTCGTCATCGTCTTCGTCAGATGAGTCCGTTTCCTCGTCTTCTGAGTTAAACTGTTGTTGCTGCTGTTGTCCCCCTTGACCCTGCAGGCTACCAGGTGGGCCACGCTGCTGTTGACTCTGTTACCATAGAAACCATTTTGTTGTGCTTTTCAAAACCCCTTTTTTAACATACATAACTATGTAAGGCCAATAAAAAAATAGGTCACATCCTGCTCTATATAAGCATAGTTAAATTATTAAAAAAAAAGTATTGCCAATCTATAGCTACTGACCCTAATGTTTTTTCAAGGAGAAACGGGAAACGCACATGTATATATTATTTTGGACCTAATCAGCATTTGACAATTAAATATATATAAATGTATTCTATATTCACTTGAAGACACTTAACCCTTTCATCCCTATGTAACTTTAGTAGACGACTCTACCATGCATTGATATGGATGAGTCCATTGTGGTCTACAGCAGTGAAATGGTTAAGTCAAGTAATTTCTTATAATGTGAATTTTGTTTCAAAGATTTAGCTAAATTGAGTGCCCTTAGCAGGTTCGGTGAAAGGACAGCTAGACCTGCTATATCCCAATGCATGTAAGAATTGCAACTTATATAATACAATTATATTGGGGTCCTCTGCAGGTTTTCCTCTGTGAGTCCCGCTAATGTGGGACAACGAAAATAAACACAACTCATCTATTGCCCAGCCCGCTGCAACATTTTGGACCATTACATTTTCTTTTCTCTCCTACCATTTTTTTTCCAGAGACCTGTGTCTCCCAATGGCAACTGTCTTCAAAGTCTTCAAACTTCAAACCTATAGGTAGTAGTGTACAGTAGCGTACAATGGCCATGGGTGATATTTTTGTATAATGAATAACCCCTGTAATATTGCATGCATTTTTTTTTTAAATCAGCACTAAAATTGAAATATAATAGAGTAGACTATGTGGGCTTCATTTTTTGCAAGAAAAAAAAATTGCATTTGGTTTGAGAGCACAGTTTTAGCCATTTACAAGTCTGTGTCTATACACAACAAAAGCTAGCTTTTCAGGTAGTCTATTTTTGTACTCAGCAAATGTTTCAATATTGTAAAAAATCCGCTGGATTGACCTATGCTAAAATGTGAGTATTTTTGTTACAGAGTAGGTGATACATTATAAATTGAAGAAAACAAAATCAATCTGCGGGGGTCAAATTTTGGGTTAAAACCTAGTGTTTTTTTGGACTTTTGGCATTCTTCAAAAATTGGAGGTTCGTAGTTTGTAGGTCATCTCAAAGCGGTTCACAAATTATTATCCGTGGTTATAGGGCCTTTGCAACCAGCCAATACATTTCTCAACTCCCTAGGGAGCATACAGCCGGAGCTGCCATTTCGGCGCTTACAGCTAGCATTCAACAATTCTAGCACTGCCCAACCACATACTCATTTACAGCTGAGTAGACTGGAACAAGTGGAGTAAGGTATCTTGCTCAAAGATACAACACATTGCCGTGCCGTTGCGCGAACCCGCAACACTTCGGTCACGAGCCCGGTGTCCTACCACTGGACTACCGTGCCTTACAAGTCCAAAATCTGGGGAAAACACTTCTCGGAAAATAATTCATTTTTCTAAAAAAAAAATTGTGTTCAGTTATAAAGTAGTTAATAAATATATGTAAAAATATATGTGTGTGTTGTGCAGGACGAATCCACTATCCATGTGTACTTCAGACACGTCTTCTATTTTTAGGATCAGGCCATTTATACTGTACATTGCTACCGTGATCTGTTGCACGGACGTTAACCTTTAACAAAAACTAACCTGTACTTAGCAATGCTTCCTTACAATTTTCCTTATTGTCAGCTTCACTGTGAGAACATTGTATTCTGTGGTTTTAAAGATAAGGGAGGCAAATGCTAACAAAAAAGGGAGGTAACTATGAATTACCCGTTGTCCCAACGGTTCCATTTGTCCCATTTGTCCCAACGGTTCCATTTGTCCCATTTGTCCCATCTGTCCCATTTGTCCCATCTGTCCCATCTGTCCCATTTGTCCCATATCGTCTGGAAATTCGTCATCTTCCTCCTCCTCCTCGTCCTCCTCCTCTGAATTGTTTCCTGATAAATTGGACTCCATGGATCCAACACTTTTTCCTCGTTCTGTTAAAAATAAACACACATTCCAATGTAACAAATACAAATAACATAATATCATATAAATCTTGTTCTTTCAATAACATTTAAATTCTATCTCTTTTCAAGGTGTTAAGCCCAATGAAATATTTTGCTTGTTTCACGTTTCCTTCAATTGTCCACCATTATATTTCAGTGTTAGTTTTTAACCCCGGCTAGCTTATAAGAATATATCAAAGTCAACATCTAGCTGTTACTATAGAACTAACAATTTGAGAAAATCAATCCCAAAATCTGGAAATATATTTCTACCACAATAGGTGGGTGTTATTCAACTCCCAAGGCATCAATTAATCATTACAACTGTTGTATAACATATTGTTTATACCATACGTGGTATAAACTCTAAATGCGTTTTGATTGGCTGACACGGTGAACTTTGACCGGGACTCCTTTGAATGGACAAATTGGCAGGAAAGCCGCTTCATGCGGTGGCAGATTTGATGATACACAGAAAGTAGTTCGTCATTGTTTTTGTGATAATAAATTTCTTATGTTGGTTTCTATAAATATATTGCTTTGAAGACAATAAATTTGTTACGTACTTGTTATGATTTGTAATAAATCATAATATTTCCCCACATATTCCTAAAATTGTCATTTTTGCATATTAATTAGCGGCATTTTACTACAGGTCATATCCTTACGCCCCATCTGATATGGAAAACAAAACACATATGCATACAGAACATGTTAATTTCCTCGGAATATTTTTTATTGTGGTAGAAACAGGTCACACAAACTTGTGGTTGTTGTATATGGTATTTCTTTCACTCTCGTCAGTTATTTTTCAAAAGTTACAAAAAACACTCACAAAAAACATTTCTTTTGAAAAATAACTAACTTGAGTGAAAGAAATATCATATACAACCACTCGTTGTGTAACCTCTATTTATATATTCCTTTGTGTAATACTTCTAGCAGAGCATCAGCTCAACTCTAGTTATTTTGGAAGGTGGAACATGAAACATGAAGCTGATTTTCCTTGAAAATATTAAATTGTGATGGCTAACTCATTCACCCCGGAAATTTCATAATGGACTATTCCAACCTTTGAATTGGAAGAGTTCAAATGTGTCTTCAGGGGTGAATGAGTCAATATAATAATTGTAATATAAAAATACATTCAACATGTATCACTTGGAATATATCACGAGCACAAAGACAAAAATGTGGTTTTGCTCTACAACTAAAAAAAGATGTGATGAAAAGTCATGATAACAATTCACAAAATAACAATGATTTGTACTTTGCAATAAATAAATCTACAAAACCAACAAGTGTGTGCAGTGTTTATTAACTATTGGACCCTTAGGGGACCTAAGTCTTCCACATTGACTTCTCCAAAATGTTATCTGCATATGCTATAACAAGAAGATGGAGATGTTATAAAAGACTGTTTCGTGAAATTCAATATTCAGCACCTTTTATCCACCGAAGTGTCCTAATATCTCTCTACATCTGTATACACTGTTATTAGCTCTCATCAACTTACAAGCAACCCCTTCTCCCTTTTTTGGCAAAATTGAAATTGTATTGACCCCTCGTAGCTCTCCCTCCCTGACC